TGTATGCCTACTTAACGGAATACCTAGAAAATAACTATATTAGACGGGGCTAACGGGGGAACGATAAGGAAGGATATTGTGGTGTCATGAAAGGTAAGAAGTAAGGAAGTGTGTGCTTGTGTGTGTGTTTGAGAGAGAGAGAGAGAGAGAGAGAGAGAGAGAGACGCGTGTCTCTGGTATATAAGGGTCATCGAAGCCAGTGCACACCCTATGTGGCCCGTGGGAGAAATCGAGTAAACTATAAAGCACTTTACCCATTTTTTTCTGAGAAACGCACTTGAAGTTTTATGTAACGGTTTAAGTTTCGACGTAATCTCTAATATCTGTCTCTGTTTAACAGTGAAATTATACAGAGGTGATATCAGAGAGGGAATTGCGGGGGTTAATTTGTTGCTGTAGTGCCTGTTTGTGCTTGAGCGTAAATAACATCGTAGAAGGCAAAAACCATTCCAGGTTTCACAACACCTAAGCTATTATTATTAATAATATTGTGAATGTTGTTGTTGCTGCTAGTCTCTAACTATAACATCGTAGAAGGCAAAGAAACATTCCAAGTTTCACAACACCTATGCTATTATTATTATCATTATTATTATTATTATTGCTGTTGTTGTTGCTGCTGCTGCTGATCTTTGTTTGTACTAAATGTCTCTCATCTCGCGGAAGAAGATAACCATACTGTGGCACCTTAGCTAATTTGACAAATAGCGGAAGGCGCTCACTAATTTGATCTTAAACGACAAAGGAACATTACAATTAATCAGCGAATTATGTAAAGCGGTGATGGGAGGGAAAGCTGGCGTCACACAGTACGACATTTATTAAGGATGTTCGCTCCGTTTACTTGGCACTGTTATCAGATTTTTTAAAGAAAGAAAGAAAGAAAGAGGGGTCAAACGTACAATGTGTCTGCTGCATCTTTGTTCAAAAATATATGAAAAACATACCTCGGGATGTGCACGTATGTGTACAGGCAAACTATCACAATAATGGCATGTCTCCTTGTAACATATTGTAGGCAATGCCCGTTATGTGGTTTTAAAATCATTAAGGAATATAAGCCCTCGGGTGTACAACATCTTATCACTAAGACTAACGTTATCAGCAGCGCCCTTCCGTTAAAGATGAAAAAAGACGGGTCGTTATCCCCGGTAAATTGTCACCCGAAAGTCCTCACTCTAATCACTTTAGGGATACGGGTTTTCTCTCTTGATGCGACATTATAGGATATTTATCACTTCACGCGTTGGACGGGTAAGCGTGTTAATGTTTGCGGTCACGATTACTATAGACCGAAGACATTTTCTATTAAGACTTAGCTTGCACTTAGAGCGCTGTTTGGTGGAATAGTGGGCCCTATGACAGGTGAGGTTTTGTCGGGTGTCACAGATGATTTTATAGGGTCGTTTTTCTTAATAATGTAAAATTTGATCAGAGCCAAGAGCCTTAAATATGTGTATTCGTTCGTATATCATTACGTTACGAACATCTACAGTCCGCGCGCCTCCCTCACTGAACTGGTTCATTTCACACACCGTGTGAATCAAAGTATAGTTTTAGACTTAATTGTTATATGTTAGAATTCTGATGTGTGAGAGTGAAAAGTTTTACTGTTAAGCCAAGACTAAAACTATCTTTGGAAACTTAAAGTCGAACCGGATGTATGAAATAGAACCAGTGTTTTTTATATTAAATTTGTATCCTCTTTAATACGTACTGAGAACAAAAAGGAACGGTTTCCAAGAGAATAAAACTTACGACCTTCTTGCTAAATCAGTTTTTAATTTCTAGTAATTAGATATTGATTTCAGCTCATATGCACAACTCTCAACAGCTAACTTATTTGTCGAGTAAAAATAGAGGCCTGAAGGCTAAATTCTTGATGTATTCGTGGATGCATACAAGAGAAATGAATGCTATCTCTATTTTGTGTTCGCCAGTGGCGTTGATATAAGGATTGATAATATATATGAACCTTGGATTCATTGACATATTACGCTACCATTTAGTGCTTTATATAGATGGGGTTCAGGTCCGTAGCAAGGGGGGGTTCGGGGGGTTCGAAAGAACCTCCCCTTTTGCTGGGAAAAAGTCCACTTTGGGTAAAATTTGATCTAGGTACATGGCGTTTTTATGGGAAAAGGTCCACTTTTTCAGAAAAAAGAACCCCCCCTTTTGAAATTGCTGGCTACGGGCCTGGGGTTCTACAATGTATAGCTAAAAGGCGCCTCATACAAACCTCTCCTTAAAAACCCCGAATGACGTTCACGGTTCCGCGTGATCTGTCAAACCACAAACACCGCACTGGTCGGTAAAATGCCAGAGTATCCCTCTCTGGCAGGACTGCTAGTCCTAAGTAATGGTGGTCCTATATACAGGACCACTATTACTAGAAACTGTAGGGTCACGGTTCCTTTAGGACTTAGATTACTGTTGCACCGTTAGCTTCACTGAGAAGGAGTTCAGAGTCGGTCCAAATTGGTCAACTGTGACCACACCCCCATTGCGGTCAACACAACGTGATGGAATAAAACACCAGTGATGATATTATGTATCAACATGCACGATTGCAGTTTTTAGTTTATTTTAGAACACTCGTGATTGAACTGTTAGTACTGAATAGCAAATAAAGTAGAAAAAAAGCTTTGTTTGACGTAAGTTTTGCAGTTTCCTCTTCAAGTGTATTGTTTACAAAATTATACAAAGACTTACTAGAATAAAAATAGACTGAGGAATTTTAGTTACGTTATAAATCAACTTAATGTGCTCCATTTGGAAGCGGTTTGATGATCACAGGGTTGGTGTGTATCCTGTAAATAGGGCGCGGAGCACATCATGTGTGAATACTTTAAGTCGTGTTTCCAGTCAGCCTGCATGTGTCGAGTCATTTTGATACGGTACATTTTTTGGGACCGTTCACAAAGAATTTTTTGTCTACCAAGCTAACTTCTTGAGTAGAAAACAGAAAAGCTGGTGATAATACAAGAGGAGGCGTGTTACTTTGCTTTAAAATCTGATAGCATTCAGCAAAAGTCCCCGTAAAGTTAATGTGCATTATCTAGGTCGAGTAGAAAACAGAAGAACTGGTGATTATACGAGTACGTTGGAAAGAAGAGGAGGAGTGTTAGGCTCTATTCCCATAGATTTTAGATCGATCTATCCCCGCGGGGAGTCTCACTAGATTACTTTCTGATAATCCGACTTAAATGTCCGTCCCGCCTACTACAAGCTGTAAGAGGGTAATTAACTTTCGTGTCCACCCGCCTGACAGCTATTTAGCGTGAACCCCCAGGGAGTTAGGTCGATCTAAAGTAGGTCGATCTAATCTATGGAAATGGGGTGTTAGTCTGTTAATCAAATAGCATTCGGCAAAAGTTCCCGTTAGTGCGCTTTATCTAGGTCGACAAAATTCATTGTAAATAGTCCCTTGAAGGTCGCCTCTTTATGATTAGCTAACCATAGGCAGCCAATCTAGTCCTTCTGTTGTCTATCCCAGCGCCATAGCACTTGGGATAGGTTACGTACCTTTATATTGTTTTCCAAAAGAAGCCAAGTCAGTTCCAATGGTAGATAGTCTGCGGCCGTACCAAAATAGATCTCCTTAAACTGACTTGAAACACAGCTTTTTTTTAAATCTCTTTTGCTTGTTATGCTGTTGTGCCACTCAACAGAAGTAAAATATGTCTACTGTGGTACACGGTTTTCATCCTTTCAATGTATTGAAGAAGCAGTGTGTGTGTGTGTGTGTGTGTGTGTGTGAGAGAGAGAGAGAGAGAGAGGGAGTAAACGGGGAATACAGAAATGGAAACAAATCTATTTCATTCCAGGAATTGAAAACTTACCCTGATGTCAATAACTAATGCATCAAGCCAAGCATAAAATATTTCAGGCTAATAATATACATTTAGCGCAATGGACCAAAGATGAAACAGCACGCATTATATATTACTCGCGCTTTTCTGAAAATACATATTACATTATGGTCATAGGGCAATGCTGGTATAGCACATAGTATTTTACCTATCATTTCTACTGGTATTGCAATGAAGCACCTGCGACATCTCAATTATGCTGAATACTAAATCGAGATCCTTTAATGTAGCCATCATCTGTGGCGGCAGTTACATAAATTATTTAAGAATTACTGAATATCATGATAATTGTGCAGGATTTTTACAAATAGATTATTCTTTCGTTCTGCAGCTGAAGGATTTGACATGGTCAGCGGTACCTGAGGCTCTAGCGTCCAGTGTGAAGCAGGTCATCCAAGCTTGCTGCTGTCAGGTAAGATATACGTTGTCACAGGGAGAGGGCCTTTAATTATGCCCATTGCTAACCGATAAAAACTAGTGAAATCAAGAGAAATAGCATACCAGATATACAAAGTATCAATTTCATTTTATATGAAGAATCACTGTAAGCATTTTCCGTTGCTGTGGACGTGTTACCTAGAGTGTTGTCAGGGGGAGGGAGGTCAATCAGCCAGAATTTATTAAAAGTCCTATTTGACGCCATGGAGTCCCTAACCCGGAAAACTCTTTTTGGGTGGGGAGAAATTGGAGACAAGTGGATTGGGGTATGAAATTACAGTGATGTTTCAAGACGCGTTAGCTGATGACCCATTTATAATACCTAGTAGTTAATGACGATATAAATATCCTTTCACAATAGGCGAATTTTTTTCATCAGAGTTACAGTACAACGAGGCTAAATTCTTTTTGATTGCCTTAGTAAGACTCCACTATGATTTGTTTAAACATTCAATTTGATTAGTTAAAAAACATCAAATTTTGAGACCACACAGGGTATAAATTTGATGTAGGGTTGACATGAATATAGCACTTGTACGCAGTATGCTAAATCTGTAATCTATTAATTTGACCTCCAGTTTTGCCGAAAAAGAAGAGGGGGAGAAAGATTTTTGCATTACTAATTCGTCCCCTTAGCCCAGGAGTTGATAAGAATACGGCCACCTCATCCAGGCCTCATAAACGGATTAGGCGTTTCCTAGCACGAGCCCCACCTCAGATTAACAGGCACAACGTTAAGTTAACGAGCACTAACTTAGCGATTCCAAGCACTAGCCGTTGATCCGCTTATCTACCCGTTCGGTATGTCATCAACAGCATCAAATAACCGGAACTTATATGACGTCATCCCTCATCATGACTAATTTCCAAGTAACGATGGGTACGGGTTCCTGTTTTATCTGGCCTTTACGAGGCGTCATATAATTTTACCGGGTGTGACTGGAATAGTATTCCGCTATGAACCATACTCCGTTCCTCATTACTTTGTACAGGCGACAATCGCCCCGTATACTGTACTCTCCGCGATACTTTCGGCTAACCCTTATTTTTAACCATATAGGACCCCGAACTTCGACTCCTAGGACTACCATTTCTGCCACACTGGCTGTGAACGTGGATGGTCATCTTCATGCGTATTGAGATGTATCGTTGATATATTATATTATCCATGAAAGCCAGTCATCAATGCAGGTGCTTAGTTATAATATTTCCTCCCTCTTGACGTCACACTAACCAGACCCTGAATTTCAAGGCAACTCTTTCGATCCCACATTTTTGGAGGAAGTGTGGTCGTGTATTTACACAAAACAAGGATTGTCAAGATTCTTGAATGTTTATTCAAGAAAGGGGTTGAAAAATATTCGATCAGTTTTGAGTCTTAGAGTACTTGTAACGCAAAGTAATTGCTTTCTTTCCTCCGTTATCATTTTAGTTCATAGTCTATCGGTGTGTAGGGAGACATACAGAGCACGCAGCGCAGGCGTACGATTCAAAATAATTATTCTCATTATTCATAAGAGAGATGTCTGAATTGGATATGTATTATTCTATTCAGACATCTCTCTTATGAAGGAATAGTGCTTATGAAGTATCAGGCAATCGCAACGGTATACATTGACTTCAGTTTACTTATAAGATTTAGGAATGCCTGTTTTTGATTGATACTATAATTAACGGTTTAATTAGCATATATATTGATCGCTCTCTTAGTTTGACCTTATGAGCCGAAAGTAATTGGCTTTAAAGCACCTTGTAATCTTATGTTGAAACAATAAACAGACAAGCCCGTCGAAATATTCAGTCTCGTTTGGTTGTTTAATCTGAGCCACAACTCTGTTAGTGTAAACTGTCTGTGGGAGAAACCACACGGGCGAGAAAATAAGCATTGTATTTTTTTAGCTTCTCAAACATATGTAAGTTTAGGACATAATCACGAAAAATCGATGCGCTATGTTAAACAGCTGTGCAAACAAGACGCATGTCTTATTTTCAGGGAGATAAAAGAGACCGTGGACTTGTATTTACTTACACCCATCCCTCGTTTTAACAAACCAGTGATTTCGATTCCACAACCTCGTTCCATTTCATAAGAGCAGAATGATGTTTTACATAAGTCACTTTTGGCAACATTCGGCAATGAAATATGTGCTCGTTTTTTACAGGAAACGCAGCTGAGGCCAACTTTCCCAGCCATTTTGTCAAGTATTCAAGAGCTGCCCAGTACACTGCGGAATAACGTTGATATAGGTAAGGGTTGCGGGATGTTGGCGTTTCAGTAAATGTGCATTGCATTTTAACTTGTAAATCTAAGTCTGAAATTTATACCTTAGGTACTTATCTCTTTCAAAGATGACACGAACAGCGGCAACTAAGGCGGCCGACTGCATATTTACGGAAAAGGCTTTGTGTTGACTTTTTTTACTTTCCTTGTATAATTTTGAAAATCCAATCGGATTCCAATGACTTGTCCAAGTTTGCCTCACGTTAATTTAGTCGTTGAATGAATTTGGAGTTTGTCAGTTTCAGTATGCAGAGTGGTTATAATACCAGCAGCCATTTGACCTTTAGGATGTTATTAAGGCTTATACTTTAACTGACAAACTATGTTAGAAATGGCACGTTCAATTTTAAGGATGCCAATTTCGGTTCATTTAACAAAAGTAGACATAATGATGTCTTTTTTTTTTCAAAATTTCTTCAGTCAATCGCACAAGTACATTGATGCGATTGTGATAGTTGTGCCGTATCATTGCGCTTTCTCAACCAGACACAACCACTGTTTTCTTCTCCAGGTGACGCACCAAGTATGTGTTCTAGTCCGACGAGCGTGCAGACCGAGTGCAAGTTGCAAATTGCGAAGACCGTGCCCATAGCTCTCGACAATTCTGAGGAGCCCACCGAGAATTTTTCTTTCGCAGAAGATTTTCGCGAAATCACAGAAATTAAGGAGAGGATCGGCTCTTTCTTCAAGGTAGCGAAAAGGCGCAAATCGCAAGACCTGAACAGTTCCACTGACTCATTCAATAGTGAGCATTCACCACAGTACAGAGGGAGAAAGTATTCATATTCTATGACGCTATGGCCCGTGGACGCACCAAATACGCACGCACACCGTGAGGAGTTTCTGGAAGAGGAACAGCAGAGCAAGATTTACAAACTTGCAAATACAGTGAAAGTGCTTCACGAAAAGCTCCTTCGAGAAAAACAAAGGAAAGAGGAGTTACTGAACTACTGTGCAAAATGCGAGGAAGGGTGTCTGCTTCAAGTAGACCGGATGGTTGATTTGTTTAAACGACGGGTTCACACTTTGGAACGCAAGGCGTCCCATTTTGAAACAATGGCAAAGCGTGCCCGGCGGGAGAAAGATCTGGTACAAAAATCGCATTTGCAGACGACAAAAATGTTACAGGATTCGTTGGAAACGATTAAAACTGAATTAGACAATGTGCGCGCTAATAATGTAGAACTAGCAAAAAGAACAAACAAACTGAATGATGAAAAAAATTCTTTGAAAAGGCGGATTCATGATATGGATATTGCAACCTATGCGAAGGCAGACTTGAAAGAGTTGGACCTTGAGGTGAGCAACGTTAGGATTCTTTATGAACTTGCGCTTGACAGGCTGAAGTTATACGAGGGAGGGCTTACAAAAAGATACAGACAAGAAAAATTACGATTTGATGAAAGTTTACCAGTTGTGAACATAATTCCATGCAGCGGACAATCTGGCAAAGACCATGACGTCACGGTGTCTGATGACGTCCAGAATGAGGATGACGTCAAAACTGCCTATTCAGTACTCAGCACACCTGGCAGTAATCGCAACATGTCCCCCAGTTGTGAAGCAGATGTATCAGAATCTGACCAAGAAGATGACGAGGGCACAACAGACAGTGATAAGATTGGCGATTCTTTCCTAGCAACTACAAAAATTTCCCCTACCCTCGTAGCTAATGGTGCTGTCAAACAAAAGAGTGTGGAGGACATTTTAACGCCCCAAACAGACAAGCCACCTACCGTACAGAAGAGCACGTCTCTGCCGAATGAATCAATGCTGGCGGTGCTAGCTAGGCTCGAGCGTCTGCATAGGACAAATAAGCAGCCTCCCAGTCCAGAGCTGGAAGCGTCTGCTGAAAGTCTTCCAACCAACATCAATTTGAACACTAAGAATCAGGAAATGTTAGCAGAAGAATCGGAGTTTGACGAAAATGCATCCATGTGCGAGGAAAACTATTTCCGTAATATTTCTTCCGATCCGGATCTAAGCGATGCGGAAAGGAGATCGTCTGCAAACAGTAATGATTGTGACTTGAACTCCAGCAGCGCCTCCGTTTTGCGCAGGTCGTCCAGTGGCTCCACCTTCAGTCGGATTCGCAACCGTCGGAACGGGGTGGTGGCGGGCACCATTGGACCCCTGCCGTTACTCATGGGTGGAAAGCAAAGTCGAAAGAGCAAAGATTTCACCAATGTTTTAAAGCATTTTAATATAAATAGGGGCTCCGTGATGACGCCTCAGAGGAGAAGAAAGTCGTCAAAGATAGCGTCTATGATGAGTATATCACAGGCGTGTGAGGAGGGAGGGGAGGGATGACCCAGGTCAAGGTCAGATATAGCGACCCCCTCAAGGTGACCGCCGTGAAGATCTTTCCAGCTCACACGCTGGGGCCTCTTAGCAAACCCAAAACTTCCACTTAGGCCTACTCAGCGTGATGTATTAACTTCAATATTTAAAATGAAAAGTATTTTCATTAGTCTTCAACCATATTAATCACGTTCAGAGCCGTTGCTCTTGATAGAAACATAGCAGGAGCGGAAACAGAGGGAGGAGGATTTCCAGAGAGAAATGATGGACTCAACAAAATTGAAGAATGACTTACTCACACAGTATTACGAATTTGCCTGAAATGTTGTCGTCTTTTCAATACTTTCTTGTCAGCAAAAAATAAGGAATCACCCCCGCCCCCACCTCCCAGCCTTATCAGTAGGCCCTAACCTATGTTGGATCTGTTCTGGGCAAAGTATTACAATTTTGTTTTCAAACTTTCTTCATTATTTTGTCCATTTGTATAACAAATCGTAACAACTTTCTCTTCGGTTACAAACATGCATTGACTTCAAAGGATAATTTTGTGTCATCAAAAAGTTGGACGCTTTCTACAGTTAACCGTTCACAATTTACAGAATAGCCCTAAAGTAAATGCACAGGAGGTAGGCCTATCTTTAGTATTATAGTAAAACATGCTTGGTAATAGATTAGCTCTGTACAACTTGGATATACCGGTATACCACGTTTACACTGTTTAAACTAATTAATTTTTATGCTGGACATAGATATTTATTGGTGAAAGCTCTTATTTCCACCGAATTTTTTACATTCCTCATGAACAAAAGTTAAAATGGAATGCTCCGGAAAACTTTCTTGAATATAGTGTTGAACGAATGGCGATGACGTTTGATATTTTCTGAGAATTATTAAGAAATGCAATCAAATTCTATTTCAAGAAACCTTATTTCCAATAAGCCACACCTATAGCTTGAAATAAAACAGGTATCACAAACCCTATAAACTTGCAAAGGGAAAACTGTGACGCCTTTAAAAATCCACTCTCCGAAGCGTCACGTTCTTACGCACTTGTTATCATTACTTTAACTGAGAATAAATAAAAACAAAAAACAATCGTGTGGCATTTTATTAAGTTCATGAGAAGAATAGTTTTATATCATAGACGTGTACGCCCTGAAAATTTTTATAATGAAATAAGCAGGGAAATTTGAATTTTACATATATTGTGCACATTTACCAGAAAGCTTGCATTTTTCAATTGTTACAAAACGTCATTTTACAGTGTTCCAAAATCATAAACAGTATGAATAATTATTCGTTTAAAACAATTTTAAGACCCATCTTTCGCATATAGTCCGGGGGTGAAATCTTTGCAGTTTGATAGTACAATAAAAAGTAATTTCAACAAAGACAGGCAGTTTATTGCGTAGAAAGGACGCAACTCGCTTTTGACATACGAGTTATGCATAGTTGAATGTCAATTACTAAGTTTAGTATACAACGTATACTCGAGTTGCCTTTCATTTTTTATAGGTCTTCTTACTGAATTTTTAAACCAAATTGTGATGGTCAGTAGAGGACAGAAAACATTCAGGCGTGCCAGTTACATGTATCGAAGGCAAACCGACCCCAAAAATCCTTCAGAACTTTGCATCCAAAGCTTATTTCTTTGTGAAAAAAGCTTCTTGGACGTAAAAAGAAGATAAAGACAAGCATTCTGGTGTACGAAGTCACCCCATGCAAATAACACTGCTCCTCATTCTTAAAATATTTGTCTTTATTTCACTTAATATGAAAAAAAAATAATTCAAATTAAATGCGATACAAACAATGGTTGATAGTACAATTGTAACTTACAATGTATAGGCTATATTCTTTTAACTCGGGGAACAACTGACGTGTTCTAACAATACAATTAACTACAAATTGCGATTCACATCAGAATATTACAATGTTAAATTAGTCCATTAATCTTTTCTAAATCCATTAGTCATATCATTATGCTCTGGAGTGAATCGATTTATGATAACATCAATTACCTTATTTTACTGGCAACTCGCTCATTAGCAGATAATACATCAGAAAGTATGTCTATTACACATATACAAGTATTATAGGACCATCTTTTGAGTAAAGTTATATTGTATCAGAACTTAGTCGATAATTTAACAATATTACATAATATAATAATAAGACCAAACCAATACTCAAGTTAAATAAGGAATACCTTTGAAAACACCGACCTTCACTTCACAAACAGAGCAAGGGCGGACCGCCGGTGCTCCAACACAAATACACAAAACAAAATTCGTAATTTTTTTTTGTAATCGGACGATACACATGTCCATTCTTATATGTCCATTTTACGATACATGACACTACAAGATGAGATACATTCTTATATGAAAAGACAGCAAAGCTGTGAAACATGCAGACGCCAAATGTAATGAACACACACTCAAAACATGCATACGCTTATCTGAAAATTAGAATTCGGGTTGATAAATCAATTCTCTTTATATTCTTACATTGCTATTGGGTATCCTACTGCTAAAGCAAATAAAATCACACAGTCGCAAACCTGCTTATTAAAACCCGACTTTTACAAAAGTCTACAAGTTTGAACATAAGACTTGTGAAGTGCAAGATGCATAAGATTAAATGACACTTTTCGGGGAGAAGGGTTTTGGTCTGTTGTATTAAGCCAATGGAATATTTTTAAAGGTGATTGACAAGAAGTGTGAAGCAAAGGTATAAATGTTCTCAGATGGAAGGCAGAAGGATTCAGTAATGTAATTATACCACGCTTGTGTTACAAATTTTAGTAAGAATTTAGTTTAAGTTTTAAAAGACGTTACAATTCAACAGTTGCTATCGCACTTCAAAAATTATGCTTCGTACTGTACCAAGAAAGGACAACAAATAGCCTCTTTTCCGTTATTATTGCGAGGTGCAGCTTTAGATTGGTTCGACACACTTGCCGATGATCAGCGTCAGAATATAAATGCCATAGAAAACGAATTCCATACACGATTCCCACCCACCGAAAGTTCAAAATGGGCTACTGTGTCCAATTTATTCCAACGCCGCCAAAAACAGGTTCAGCCCGTGCAAGATTATAGAGCATAAAGAGACGCAAATCAGCGAGGGTTAAATTTGCCGGAAGAACAAACTGACTTTTCGAGCACAATTCATTCATCTTTCGCAGATCGAATTTACGCCATCATTATGGAAGTTTTGATATTAGCAGCCACTATGCTGAAGAACATGATCCATCATATAGATGGGGATTAAAGCTCGGTGAGAG